GCCAGCTGGGGGCCGACAGATGATGGAAAAACAGTTGACGGGCCGCGTAATGCGACAATGCGAGCCATTGTAAAGGGTGTAAACGAGGTTCGTGTGAAACTGCGTGGATTTTTGCAGAGAAGGACTGTAGATCTTTCATAATTTTACTGAACACTATCGGGACTCAAAAATGTTCTCAGTTGCCCTCAGAAACGTACTGATTTTGTTTTCAGGGCCGCAACGGATTGGGGTCGATATTCGTTTGGGCAAGTGGAGATGGTGGTGAAGAGGACGACTGTAACTGCGACGGCTATGCTGCTTCAATGTGGACCATATCAATTAATTCGGCTATAAACAGCGGCGAGAACGCTCATTACGATGAGTAAGCCTTAAATGAACACTTCGACGCATTAATCTCGTCCCATTCTCTAGACCGCTCTGTAAACTGATAGCAATATTTTCGTTACTTTTCCATCGAATTATTTTGTCCAGGAGCTGTTCCTCAACACTGGCATCCACGTTCTCGAATGGAGGGCGAAATCCAGAAACTGGAGTAGCGACAACGGATTTATACGGCCGTTGTACACGGTCGCACAGTGGAACTTCAGCAGCAGCACCAGAAGCGGCTGGCGTTTTTGCGCTAGCTCTGGAGGCTAATCCGATGCTTACTTGGTACAATTTTCATCAATCATTCGTGCAAATATGTTGTTTATTATGCGTTTTTGCATATATGCAAATTCAGAAAGTTATGTTGTGTCAGTCCAAGTGCGTGTGTGTGTGTCTGTCTGTCTGTCTGTCCGTCCGGGTTTTTCAACTCGACAATAAGCAAGCTCCGGCGTTAAAATTTTGCCAATGGGTTCCTCAGCCAGGTGCCATCGTGCCATCCCAGGACCGCGACACCGCCCTTCACACACGTCTGGGCCCTGTCTACGAGCACTTAGAAGTTTTGGCAGAGAAAATGTTAATTCGAGGACCAGAAAAGCTAGAAGGCTGAAATTTTGGGAGAATGTTCCCCGTCGATGTAGAACTTAAACATTTCAAATTTAGCCCCCAACTGTATGTGGTTCTGACGTACGGTTCCATGAAGATTCTTGGCGAGAAAATTGTCAACTTGGGAAACAGAGAAGCTAGAGAGTTGAAATTTTAAGGGATTTTCCCCGCCCAACTTCCACGTAGTTGCACAATTAACTTCTTTAATTTTGAGGGCCAGTATGTCACAAATCCTTGCTACTGGGATTCCAAGCGATCTTACTACAGCATGAAATATTGCAAAAGTGCATGATCGCACGGGCCCACCTGGCGCGCGTCGCCAATGATTTTCATATCCTTGCATTGGCATGTCTCCTACTAGACACTTGCCCAATATTCACAAGAAAGGAAAACATACTGCGTATGTGACTGCATCG